GGAAATTCCCCCCCCCCCCAAACCAAACACACCCTTATCACCCCACTAGTATTGGACCATGCTAGGGTGTCACCACATGGGTGCACCCATTCTTCACACAGACAAACACAAACAATAATTGTCTGTGCGACACAGACAATTATCGTCTGTGTTTGTCTGTATGAAACATGGGCATCCATGTGGTGGCACCCTAGCATTTTCCACTAGTATTTGCATATTAGTGCAATAAAAAGAAGTTCTTGAAAGTTTGAGACAAGATAAACCGTTTTTGTACGACTATGCAATACAATTTTAAATTAACTGATGATTGATATTTATCAGAGTTAAAACCAAAAGGTCAAATTAGAAGATTAAGTTTAGGCCCCATTTGTACATGAAATTCAAATTATAAAACTGAAATTGTAGACAATAATTCTAATTTTGTTGTTTGGTAACACAAAAATATGTAAATTTGAATTGATAATGCCAAAATAAATTAGAAAAGGAGAATTCAATTCTTTTCAAATCACTTGCATAGAATTTCAACTCTCAATTCAATTTCAATTTCATCAATTTCGTATACCAACGGACTCTTAGACTCAATTTGGTACACAAAATTCAAACAATGAAATTAGAAGTAGGGACAACAATTCAAATTATGTTATTTGGTAGCAAAAAAAGACGTAGTATATTGGTTTAGAATTGGTAGTGCCAAAAATAAATTGGAATTGGAAAATTTAATTACATCCAAATCATTTCCATAAAATTTTAATTTCTAATTCAATTTCAATTCTGTTAATTTCGTGTAACAACCGGGCTCTTAGTGAACTTCCTTCCCTACCCACCTAATTTCCACGTGCGTTGAATTTAGTCGTTTAGAAAGGGGGGGGGCAATAATCTATGCACTCATTTTGTTCATAACCTTTGAAGGGTGGAGAGCTGAGATTTTTTCTTCCCCAAAAAAACTCAATTCTCCATTTTTTTCAAATGTTTTGAATGCATAAAAAAAACCTTGTGTATGGACCACACCTCACTTAACCTGTGACATCTCCCAAGTCCCACCATGTAAGGGCTTTCTGTTTCACTGCTGCAGAGATTGACTGACCATGGGATCTAGCTGATCAGGTAGAGTAAAATTAGGAAATCAGAGAGATGGGAAGGGGTAAAACATGAGGCAGGTAATAATAACATTATAGGAGAAAATATAAAGTTACTAGCAGTTACTACTACTGGGGTTTGTAACTTGTAAGTGGTGGTGATGATACTATTCTTGTGTGTGTGGGTGTGGGTGGGGGTGGGGGTGGGGTCCATCACACAACTACAAAAGAGGGTACAAAATAGACAGAGGGATCCTACTCCCTTAAACCAGTTCATCTGTCCTATACATATGCATTATGTATCATTGCCAGTAGTGTTTATCCTATTGATGTTGAAACAAGTCTTGAAACAGATCCTCCTTGCAGATCTTTTCTTCTGTTATGGATATACAAGTCAGCATTCTGCATTCAAACCACAGTGCAGACAGACATTAGGATTACAAAATATCACCAAACTTGGGTGAAATTGTCTCAAATTGTGACTCAAATGACTGAACCTCTTTTTTACCAATGACCATAATGATATGCATTTGCATTTCACTGCACAGTTTGATAAATGCATCTTCCCAAAAAACTACTCTCTTCTTCCATTTGCTAAATAGAGTAACAAGTTAAGTATGATCTACATTTTTTGTTGAACCAAATAAGTTTAAAAATTACGGTTTACGTGAGCATTCTATGACTTCAAAAGTAGTGTCATATATGACTTGTTCAGACTTCACTCCTTTTTTTGGTATGAACTTATGGCATAAAGAATTAAAGATTATTAATAAAAAATCAAATTATGTGCAATTTAAAGGTGATCTTACCGTGCTCAAGCCTCTACTACTGCCTACACTTCGATGGCTTCTTGGCCGGAGGTTAGCCTGGTAACAAAGAAAGTAATACGAGAATTTCAGATCTCTCAATTCAAATAAACTTTTACGACTGTAAAAACAAATATGGTAGTAAAAATACTTTGGCATCTTCAGGGAACATGCTTGAAGAGAAGGCATGTTGAGGGTGGAAGTAGCAGGTTGAATAGGGATGTCATTGGAAGGTGCAGCTGAAGAACTATCATCTGCTTCTGCTGGTGCAGATGAAGAACCAAGGTTGTCCACAGTTGCTTTCGCGGGGAAGGTAAAGAGGCTATCCGGGAGTATGTTATCCAAGCTGACAAACACAATATCAACCAATAAGGATCCACATTTGGATCCCATAAAACACCAAGGAAAGACAATGTGATGTAAAATTGGAAAGGGAGAAAATTTCATGAAAGATTTGTTAAAACTCAATACAAAAAATTGCATATATGTTACAAAACCCATTGCTTATTCCTATGCTTCATGTTGCGAGTTTGCTTTGGGGTTTTTGTAGAGAGGAACGGGGTTGGGACAGGAAGTAACAAACTAGATCGATGTGATTTTAGTAATATATCATGTTATATCTTTGAATAAATATAAAAGACTATAATGTTATAGCACTTTTTAAGAAACGGAAAATAACCTTCTCACATTTCCCCTTCAAACCAATGTCCAAAACATGCCCTTGAGAGAGTAGGGGAGGAGAAGCAAATAAAAAGTATACCATAACTACTTGGCAATAATACCTGACATTCAATCCAAGGGCATCAAGATTTGGCATTTGGTCCTTTCCAATACTATCTTCATTTCCACTCTCATTCTCCTGGGATTCAGTTGGTTCCCATGGAAGCTTCACATGGTGGTCGGCATTCATTTCTGGGACAAGATTATGGTATTGTGATAGAGAGCTGCCCAAAGGATCCGAACCACCAGGATATGAACATGGCTGGAACTGAGGATAATTATGATGGTGATGATTCTTCTGGTCCACAAACTGCATGTTCATCAGCCTTCTTCCTTGAAGCTCAATGGCCTGCTGCAGTTCAGCATCTTGCTCTAATTTTCTTCTAAGCATTGCCTCGCGTGAATTGTAAAACATTCTTGGTCCTGCAAAACGATAGGCAAATTCAAGAACTAGATTTTATGTGTCTGTTAAAACTCATTTTTTATAAACTGCCCCTAGTCCTAATTTTAAGCCACATTTGACTTTGTTTTTGGAGAAGTTAAGGTTTCAAATTAAGTGTTGTAACTATATCATATGATGTATGTATTACATTCTATGTCATTTCATAAGCTAGAAAACATAATTTGACTGCAAACAATGAACTTAAGTGTCTTTAAGTGATTTAATTAATTGATTCGAGTATAAAACAAAACACAAGAAAACACCTTACCATTTTTCCCATTCCCGTATTATTTTGGGGGATCCAGACATAGCCCATAACTACGAGCCCGGAAAACAAAAAACAACCTATACACAAAAAATGTTAAAGAGCTTACCAAAAGGAAGGTCATGAGGCTCCAAGGAATCAAGGCTGGATGGGCTTAAGCATGTTGAAAATTTCCCCCTGTCCATATGGTGATGTTGATGCTGTTGTTTCCTACATTATAATCAATAGAAGACCGGAAATTATTCTCACACGTCTCAAAAATATGACAAGATAAGAGAAGGGCAGAATAAATGCATTTAGACAGTAAATACTTTTCTGGGATATTCCCCTTTTCCTTGTAGGGTTTAACAAGCACACGAGAGTCACAAACAAAGTGAGGATTCCCTTTAGCCAATATGCGCTTCACCGTCTCTGGGTAGACAAATGTGACAAAACCAAACATTCGCTTCTGCTGATACGGAATTCTAACATCTTGCACTGGCCCATACAAACTACAGCAAGTATACAACACAAAAAAATAACAACTAAACAACTTTGTAATAGTTAAAAAAAATTCGGAGATCCGGCATATAAAGAATCAAGATAAGCACCTAAAGTAATTAGAAACATCCTCTTCGCTAAATGTGCTATCTGCAGGAAAGGTCAAGTAAATTTGCCGGGAGCAAGAATTTGAGTATCCGCCCAAGCCCAAGCCAGAAAAGTCATTGGCATCTGGTCGGCATCGTCCAAATTTGCGAAGCTCTTCACCTACCATCAATGAAGCCGGAGGGGATCTGAAATGGCAATGGGGATTGATTGTCAAAGACATGTATAAAAAGAAGTCTCAGTTTGGAACCTCTATGAAATGAAATCTAAAAAGAGAGCCACACAGAATAAATAATCAAGAGAAAAATATAGAGCAATCTGCCAAGCCAAATTGGGAATGGTTTCCAAAATGGCAAAACCACACATTGCTGAAATACAAGACAAATTGATTGTGCAGAACCACAAGATGCATGGTAACAAATCTACTGCCAAAGTTACTTACCATAAAAGATTTTTTAAAGATTACGCTAGGTCTAAAGCCCACAACATAAATGATGCTTTAAATTGAACATCTTTAATCAAAATCGTACCAAATGAGGCGAGAAAGGGGTTCAATGAAAGCAAATACCTCGGATTGTCGTTCAAAATGTTCATGCACTTGTTGTAAGAGAAGGGACGGTGAGCGCCAGAAGCCATGAGCTGTGAGAACCTTTGGTGCTGAAGGGCTTTTATCCGAACAAGCTCCTCAAAGGCGGCCGAATCCATTTTGCCCGGAGAACCAACAAAATTAAAGGAGGCGGAGCCGCCGTCAGGCGAGTCAGTAAAGCCGGCGCTGTTCCCGTTCTTGCAGAGACCTCCTCTAGTACCCAAGTACATGCAAGGCCTCAAGCCGTCTTCTGATCCATCCCCCATCGAGAATCGCCGCCGGTGCTGCAGCTGGTGGTGCGAGTCGGGGCTCTCCTCGTACGGGAAAATCAGAGATTCGGCCTTGTTGTTCCCTCCTCCGGTGGGGCTCATTATCGGCTCAAACTGGTGGTCGGCGGGGTCCCCATTGTAGGGAGCGTGAGCGGGGGAGGCGGAGACAGCAGGGTTTGTGGAACCGTTCACCACGGCGGCGTAGGAGAGATGGGCTCTGGAGAACGCCGGGGAGCCGGCAGAGGGCGACCAGAGAGAGGAGGGCGACGAGGAGTGGGGGAAGCCGCTGTTGGGAATCGTGATCCTCGGGGACGAGGAGTGGGTAAAAGGGCCGAACTTGGTGGTGGGACTGAAAGGGGAAGGCGAAGAAGGCGCAGAATGGGAAGATGAAGAGTTTGAAGAAGAAAGGCCGAGGAAATCCTTGGCCTGAGTGATGAGTGAAAGGAGATGGGTGTCGGGAACATGGGCCAATCTTATCATCTCCTCGTCGCCCTGGTCTTGAATCAGAATGTAACCCATGATTTTGGATGCATTTTCCGGATCCAAGCTCTGAACCCTGGAGAATACTATCTTGGTAGCTTCGTATGAATCCATGGATGATGGATGGGTAGCAGCAGTGTGACTGAGCAGCAGAAGAAGAAAGGAGAAGAAGAAGTAGGAGAGTAGGGAGTGAGAGTATCTGTTGGGTGGATGGATGGGTTTTCTCTCCGTTTGATGTTTTCTTGAGAGAGAGAGAGAGAGAGAGAGAGAGAAAGAGAAACGATAAAGGGAGAGAAAAGAGGGCGGAGTTCGGGAGAGGACAGTTGCATCATCAGCAACGATGCAGCCAGCCTCCTCATAAAAATATTTAAAAAAAAAAGAAAAAGAAAAAAAGACTAATCTCTCCTCCTCCTCCTCACACAGAGTTCTACTTACATTTGGATTCCGGGTTGGGTCTCCATTGGTTGTTTAGTGGTTCGATAAATGCGTCGAGATAATAATAATAATAATAATACTCGTAAATCGTAATAACCGAATCCATTAATTATTTGAACTGATTAGTTTTGTTTTCTTTTAATTTATTATTATTATTACTCCGTATTCAATTTACTTTAACGGAGAAACAGTGGTAGTATTGCTTGTACAGATGCAAAATTCCATTACACGAAAATGAACTGTACCACGGTCTTCAGAACGTCATGTTTGATGGGGACGTGGGTCTACATTTTTTGAATTTTAATAATGTGCCATTATTATTATTATCTACATTTATGCTCCCTCCGTCCCAAATTATTTGCAACGTTTGCTCTTTCATCAGTCGCGGAAACTTTTGTTTATTTCTATTTTTTCATCGGTTATCTGATAAAATAAAATATTTTTGAGACCTCTTATTTCGAAGAACTTTTCATGTAGTTTTTTGATATGTAAATTTTATTTTTTATTTCTATACCAATATGTAAATAAAATGAATTGAAAAAACTTGATATTTTACCTCGGAAATACAAGTGTGGCAAATATTTAGGGATAGAGGAAGTATATAAATAGTCTTAGATCCTTAGACTGATAGGTGTGGTGTTACCATCACGTCTATCACACCCACTTACTTATTGTCACATCAGTTTTTTTTCTTTTTAATCACTATCTATTGCGGGATAGGAATTTGAATCATGTCTATCATGCCTAATTTTTTAAAATTTTTTTATTTATTAAAATCAAAATTACTTAAATTTAAACATTAAATAAATATTTCATTAAAATTAAAATTAAATTGATATAATGCGAGAAAAAACTAAGAGCAATAGATGGAGGAAAAAATATAAGTACTCAATTAAAATAGTACAATTATTTGCTAAAAAAAATTAAAGACACCGCCCAAGTTGTCGGTCGTACTTCCAAGTCACTTCCGGATAGGAGTGGACACGATACGGTTCCGAAACCACTGGCTCTGGTACCACCAACCCAAAGCACTGTTACCGATGCCGGATGTCACACTGACAGCGCCAGTTCCAGAACTGGCGGATCCCTTTTTTGTAATTATAAATCTGTAAGTGTAAATAAATTAAATGTTCGTATGAATTATAATTTCTAAGACCGCTGCCCAAGTTGTCGGCCGCACTTCCAAGTCACTTCCGGTTATACAAACAAGTTGTAAAATTACAACTACTTGAAAAAAATTAATATCGCCTTAAAAAGTAGATACATAGTGCAAAAATGCATAGTAGAAAAAAGAAAGATAAAATTATAAATGATGGTGTAAATTAACCATCCGAGCAAACTGTATTAGACCAGGTCTAGAATAGTCTGCTGACCTTAGAGAATGAAAGGCGCAAAAGACAAGGAATGAACGGTAGAACTATAGGTGGAAACACTTATAGCCCAATTGTTATTAAGTATTGAAGCTGTACATGGAACTACTACAATATGAAATCTAGGCAGATAAAGTTTGGCTCCCTTCATTTGAGGGTTACAAAGTTATTTATAGGAAGCTGAGGGGACACGGCACCACGTGACCACATCAGCCCACGTTCCCAGACGGTGTAAGGTGACTTCCTCTTGTCCCGTAGTTTTTGTCTTATTCCCTTGTCATTGTTAGAATAAGTGCCCTTCACTAGAGAATAGTAATTTCGTGGAATAAAAATCGCAGGGATAAAATAAAGAGCGGAATAAAAGAGCGTAAAGGGAGCATACCAAGATTTATACTAGTTCACCATAACGTGTGGCTAGTCTAGTCTCCCGAGAGACCTTCTCGAGCTACACTACTTCCGTTAAGCTTACGGATTCTTAACAAACCGTTATAACCTGAGAACTCGAGTCCCACGAGCCTCAATACACTTGCTCGGAGATACCGCACTCCAAGACTTTTACCCGAAGGAAAATACCTTTCCTTCATACAACCAAGGGAAACAAGTTTCCCTGAATGTGTATACAACACTAAAACACTCAAGAACAAATACCCTCTTTTAGGGTGGATATTTAGTAAAATATATACACTCAAGAACAACTCAAACTTCACACAATTTGGCTCTAGAAAGCTATGGAAAAAGATGTTATATGAATGCAATGATAATGTGCGTAATGTGAAGTGAATTGATGTGTAATGCAGGCCCAAAACACCCCTTTATATAGTGCCAAAGTAGGCTCCAACGGATCAAAACATTTAAGGGGTGATTAGCATGATTTGTGGGATTGATATAAAAATGTGGATTTGTAGGAAATCAGCCTACCCAGCGATGTATGGAACTACCCATCGCTTGGTGGCATGGTTCTGGAATCCAGTTGAGCTAAAAGATCACTTACCCATGGATGGGTAATAGCTCTCATCGCTGGGTGGCATGGTTCTGGAATCCAGCTGACCTAAAGGATCACTTACCCATGGATGGATAATATCTCCCATCAGTAGGTTGATGGCTAGTCCAGAAACCTATGGTTTTTGCCTGAACCATGGCATAGCTGACCAGTGCTAAAACCCGACCGATACTGAAACCCAACTGATAAAATGTGAAGCTCTCCAAAATAAAAACCAAGTGTTTAAAACACTTATTTCATGTATTTTTATGTCAAAACAAGATTTGTAAGTTGAAAACCACGTCGTTAAGGTAAAAACCACGGTTGACCAAGTCAAAGCCGTACACGGGTGGTTTTTACCAAAAGACAAAATCGAAAGGTGGTTTTCATGATTTTTTGATTGGAGAACCATTTAAATTAGTTTCAAAACAATTCCCATACAAAAATACTCGAAAACCACTTCATTTAAGTAAAAATCACGGCTAGCCAAGTTTATACTGTTTCACATGGTTTTTATCAAATGACCGAAAACGAAAGGTGGTTTTTGAAGTGTTTTTTATGGAGAACTATTTAAATGTGCCCAGAAGTAAAAATAATCATAAATTTTTGAAAACCAGTTGGTTGGTTCGGACGCCAAAAACCAACACCGGTTTCTGAAACCCAAATACCAGTTTCTAAAAGCCGAATGCTAGATGGCTTGGTTTTTGGTTTGGGCAAACACCAAGTGTTTTTAATATGTTTAAAAATGTTTGAAAATCATTTTTATGATATGTGAAATGCAATAAAAGATGTTTTAGCCTAAAGAGCCAAAGTGCAAAGCTTGGGTCGGTCTTGATCACATTTGTGACCGACTCAACGACACTAAAAGCTACTGTCTTTGTTCTTGGTCTCTTTTAGCTCTTGTTCTCTTGCTTTCTTCTCATCTTTATTTCTCGCCTTGTATATTTAATAACTTGTCTCGTTCACGGCGATTTGGCATTATCAAAACCTGTCATAAAAACGAACACGGCTTTAGTACGACAACGCGATAAACCCGTGTTTCAACAATCTTGTGCAAATAAACCTTCTTTGGCACGTAGTGCTCAGATGAGAATGTTGGAATATTCCTGCAATCTTTCGTTGAAATTGGTTGCTACCGTCCAACCACCTTTGGAGCAATTCGTGCCGACACTTTCACACAATAACAACCTACCAATAGTTTCATCGGTAATGCCTTTTGAAGGATCAAAAGACCCCTAGCATGAAGTCATGTACTTCGACTGGTAAGCCTAAATATCGTAACGGTCGGCCATATTTTCATATAAATCTTTCATTATGATATACTTATGTCAGAACGGTCAACTGATGTGGACCTAAATTCGGACCAGGTCCTGGGTGGAATACACCCATCAATAATCCCTCCATTTCTCGGACTTGTAAAATTTATCAAGGGCGGGAAGTGAAAAATTGGAATCTGGTGCATGAAATTTAAATTTTAAGCCTTTCCCGCCTAGATTTTTGAATTTCAAATTTGAGTTCTGCACTTTTAACACGTGTCGTACGCTCCCCGTATGCAATAATTGCGTTCTGCACTTGTCGTTTCATCTTCCCATATGCCATGATTGCGCCGCCTGACGCATCGCCTTCGCAATTTGCCATGCGTCGTGCTATCCTCCATCTACTCGCCTATATAAAGGGCCCTCCCCCTTCCTTGACTCACTTTTCGTGAATCCGCTCTCGATTTCCACCCGATCAGAGATTTTTTCAGCCCTCCGAGTCTTTTATCTTCTAAGTAAATTTCTCGACTCTTCTCTTTCTTTTAAATCCTGGTCATGTCTTCTAAGGATAGTCAATATGTTTCTGCCACCTCACACGCATCTACATCTAAGGAGTCCATGTCGTCCTCCTCTTCTTCTTCTTACTCTTCATCTCCAACCCAGGAGGAACCAATCTCGGAGGGTGTTCCGATTCCCAATCCTGAGCCCACTAGCCAGGAATCATGTCCCTTCAACCCCAAAATGAGACCCGGGAGAAATGGGAGAACTGCCTCTAGGAGGCTGGTTATTCTCCCCTCCCTGTCAATAATGTTAGGGAAATCCGCCTGTGTGTTTTAAAGATTGCCCTTAATAAATTAATAAAGCACGCTCGTTGCTTCCTGAGGGTTGTACTCTTCAGTATGATCCCAACTGGCCCACTATCATCGACCCTCATCAGGATACTAGGGTAGGGTTTCATATTAAATCTTTGGAGGGTGGCATAGTTTTTTCCTTTTCGCCCCCTCCTAGTCGGGGGTCTGCCAAGCTTTTTCTATTCTTCCCGGGTAGATAACCCCAAACACCCATCGGTTACTAAATTGTTTTGTAAATATCTGTGAATATCTCCAAATAAGTCCGTCTTTACCTCTTTGTCTTTATGTTTGACATCCTCCCCATGAAGGCTGAGTGTGAAGGATTTGTTTTCTTTAAATCTCGCCAAAATAGGGCATCCATTTAAAATGTAACGCCCTGAAATCCGGCTTGTTAGAATTAATCAATTTTATTAATTAATTACCAATACGGAACGGGGTTGAGAAAATAAAGTCTTGAGAAAAATTATTTGATTACGTCATAATTCTAGCTTTGACTGTCTGATTCTAGAAACACAAACGGTTTTTGATTCGGAGTAGTATGGGGGGAAAGTGTGTTTTGTTTAAGTCAAAAGTTTATTTTCGGAGTAACCTTGGAAACTCCACCCCCCCCATTTCCAATGTGTTTATTTCGCTCCCCCTTCTCCCCTTCCTTTGCCTATGAATCTTCACCATTCTTTTTAAACATATACATCTCCCTTTCCCTCGTTCTCTCTTTGCTTTCTCCATCAATCACTCACACACCATCCCAGTCCCCTTTCTTTGACTTGGACCAGTGGAGCAGCAGCATTTCGAGGAGGAGGACCGCTGGAAGAGGAGACAGAGAAGAGGAAGAAAAGAGGAAGTTCGTACGTTGAATGTTCATGAGATGCTACCACCATTCGTACCGTCTTCGTCTAACGCCACGTTCTAGAGGTGAGTACGTTGCCCCTCTAGCATTAGAATTCGTAGATATATTTTATATAGTCACATCTATAGGATTGTTTGTTCATAATATATGCCGTAATCCAAGACTCATTAGTTGTTCATTACAAATCTATGAATCCATGAATTTGGTTAGAAATTATCTATGAACCTTAGGAAATATATATTTTACTATCCATGTTCATAATTTAATGAAAGCAAAACAAAAATAATAATAAATGGACGCTAGAACATATCACTACCTGTCGCTGCCATCGAGACAGTCAACAGTCGTCAAGGATGGTGGACCGTTCACGGTGTCCGGGCAATTGCAGCGGTCACGGTTGACCATCGGCGAGACAGTGGACCGTTCTTCTCTTCCGTGGTTCTCCACCCCAACTGTCCAGGCTTAGATATGGCAATCTAGGGAACGGTCAACCGCTGGAATCTTAGTCTCAACCGTAGCAACCGAACGGTCGACCGCCGATAGGAATAGTCAACCATCACAGTACCCGAAACGGGACAGAAACTTGTTTTGAACCCAAAATGTTTATCCAAGTATGGCTCTTTACATCCATTACTGTATGCTTATTATGAATGTTATATTCTTAGTTTTTTTCCCAAATGTTTGTATATCGATTCATATAATCACGCATGTCGTACGATTCATTCAAGTCATGTCATACCGTCTAAAGGGTCAGGCCTAGTGCGCCTCTTAGCGCGGGCCCGTCCAGGAGCCTTCGGGTCCAACAGGTATCATTCGGGGGCTTTGTGTACGTACATGGTATTCTGGTTTTCGGATACCACTCAGAATATTCTAGTCTCGTATGAGACTAAGAATTGCCCGAATCATTACCCTCGAGAAGTGATCTCAGAGCGCAGGGGGTACCTGCACGGCTAACTCATGCATCATGCAATCATATAGTCATTTGGTTAAATCATTTGTGTTACACGTACGTTAAGTACATGTATGATTATGTTTGTGGCTATATGGTTTATCACTACTTATTCTTTTATTAAAGTTACCACTCAACTTATGCTGAGCGTATATTATTGTCTTTGCTATATGTAGGTAGGCATGATGAATTTAGAGCCTATCCTAAAGGGAAATGAGAGTGAGGAGATGTACGAACATCGGGCGTGGATTTTATGATTATCTCTCTTTTAATATTATTTAAATCATTTGGGCTTAAACCCACATTTTTCATAATTATTTTCACGGACTGGACTTGGTTTTACTTCCGCGTATGGACTATTCATCTTTACTCTATATGTTTTAAGGGGCTAATTTCCCCATGGATTATATATATATAAATATGACAAAGGAATTTAATCGAAAACATTTAGAAATTTGATTTTCCTTAAACGGATGATTCTATTTACCATTTATGTAACCTTCTGATCCATCGGGTCGCAGGCAAATTGGATCTTGCGAGTCGGGGGTGTTACAATTTGGTACTGGAGCATTTGGTTTTAAAAATAATTTTGGAAAACCCAACTCCAAGGCATTTTTAAAATCCACTGTCACATCTCCCGTCACATCTCTGCTCTAGAAGGTAAATATTTATCATTAGTGTTTTTATTTATGCCTAATAGGAAATTATTATCTTCTTATAGAATGAGTCAGGCTTTGACTAACAGCCAGGCACCACCTCAAGGGGAGCTTGAACACGTTAGCGTACACACAGAAGCGTCAAGCTTCACCCCACCTTAGCAAGTCCCAGAACAACAGGCTCCGAATGCGGTGCCCTATCCGGAAGCCATCCATGTACTCCAGCCACACATGACGGTCAACATGCTCAACTTCCTCCAGTAGATGGCGGGAGCTTATGTACCCCCACCACCACCGCCATCTCCGGTGGTTGTTGTCTCGATCAAGAAGCTTAAGAAGAACGGAGCAGAAGAGTTTCGTGGCGACCAGATCCACAATCCACTGATTGTAGAGCACTGGCTTGAGCGCACTATCCGGGTCCCCATGTGGGAAATAGGTGACTTGGCAATAGCTCTGCTTTAGGATGCCGCTTATGATTGTTGGAAGTGCATTAGAGAGAACATCCTAGAGCCCGTACCATGGGCCGTCTTCGAGCAACGGTTCAGGGAAGAGTACGTGCCCGAGCACTTCATTTAGGAGAAGTGATTAGAGTTTCTAAAGTTCACCCAAGGTGAATCACCCTCCCCGAGTATCGTCAGCACCTCGTCGAGTTGGCCGAGTTTGGCTGAGATTTGGTTCAGACGATGGAGAAATGCTGCAAGTGGTTCATAGAAGAGTTGCATCTTGATCTGTCTGCCGGGCTGATTGTTGTGTCAAGACAGGACATCAATACAGTGTACAAACAACTGTTGGAGTTAAATGTTGCGCAGATCAAGAAGGCTGCCTTTTAGCAGGCCCAAAAGAGCACTCCTCGTCCACCAACACCTCCGAGGACTAGACATAGCGTCAAAAGGCCCTTCACCGCGCCGAGCAGTTCCCAACAAAGCAAGAACGCCAAGTCGGCACCTGCTCCATATGTATCAGTGTGCCAGAAGGGTGGAAGGAACCAGGGCGGGTACCGTAACCCAGTCTGCACCCTCTCCGGGTGAAGTCACTCGGGTGAGTGTTGGTTGGCTCAGGGTTTTTGTCTTGGGTGTGGTCAGGCTGAACATTTCCATAGGGAATGCTTGACAAACCCCAGAGAAGCCTTTCCGACCGTATTAGTAGCATCGGCCCCAGCTGCCCAACCCACACTGAGCCAAAAATGTACCGCAACATCAAGTCAACTGAAGCCCCCGACGCCGAGTTCTCAGACTGGGAAAGGCCCAGCCCGTACTTACGCTATGCATAGGCATACTAAGTAGCCGGCCCATGACGTAATAATGGGTATGTTCACCCTATTTGACACCACTGTATATACATTAATTGGCCCATGTTCCATTTTGTCGTATCTTTGTATGCATATGCGTGTTTCATCTAAAATTACAAGGGAAAACCTGGAGTACCCAGTGATTTTGTCCAACCCTTTGGGACATAGTCAATGTCTTCAGCACGTCTATCATGATTATCCTTTAGTGGTGCAAAGAAAGACCTTCCCTCCAAACCCCATCAAGTTTCCACACCGTGAGTTTGATATCATTTTAGGTATGGATTGGCTCACCATCAATCAAGCTTTGTCGATTGAGGAGCACACACTGTAAGACTGAGAGACAGAGATTGTAGCGATGTGCTGATCCACTGAGAGCATCTTTCGAAGGCTCCCGAATTCATCTCTTATATGTTGGGATGACGGCTCATTCGTAAGAAATGCGAGGCATTCTTATGTACCATTTGCGACACTCAAAAGGAGGAACCCCCGAGGGAAGAAATTCCTAAAGTGTGTGACTTCCTCGATGTCTTCCCATAAGAGCTTCCAGGCCTACATCTCCCGAGGGAAGTAGAGTTTTCCATTGACTTGGTTCCAGGAACGAGACCTATATCCTTCTCACCATATTGCATGGCACCCGTAGAAATAAAGGAGCTGAAAGCTCAATTACAGGAGTTACTCGACAAAGATTTCATTCGTCCCATTGTGTCCCCTGGGGAGCACCAGTTCTGTTTGTTCGCAAGAAGGATGGATTGATGAGAGTATGCGTAAGCAACGCTTAAGCGTAGAGAATTTGATAATTTCATTTTACACACTTATCCGCTCCATATTTAATGTGTTATTGTCCAATTTTAAAACAATCAAGACAAGTTCTCATTTGTTTTTATATGTTTTTACTACCTCCGTTCCCAAGTATTTGTCCAGTTTTGACTTTTTGGGTTCAACTGTTTTTAACCTTTGACCTACAATTAAATAATATATATATTTTATATTAATTAAATAAACCCATATTTTAAAAATTTTTGATATAATAAATGAATTAAAACTAATTTTGTATCAATATCTAATATCATTTTTATTTAATTTGAGGTTAAAATTTACCAATTTTGACAAAAAAGTCAAAAGTGGACAAATACTTTGGGACGTAGGGAGTATTATAATTGGAAAAATGCACAAAAGTCATGTCTATGTTTAAAAGGGATAAAAGTGACATCATGTGCACTCAAAACCCAGGCACGCGTCTGAGTTCAGGCCCTTTCATGCTGGATGCCTGGACAAGAATTGCAGTATATAAATCGAGGGTTTCGGTCCTCATTTCAACATCACCTCCTCTTCGGGTCTTCAAGGCCTGGAACTCCTTTCTCCGCTCTCTTCTCAGTTATTTTTTTAATATTTTTGTATTGTTTTGTTCCAATTGTCCAAAGTGGCTCCGACTTTGCTCCCGGTTGTTAGTTTTTATACTTGAAAATTTGACAAAATGTTCTTTTTTCCACGCACTATTAATATTTTAGTATGGTTTGGGACCTAGATTAGGGTCTGAGCTTAATTTGGCATATACTCTGTATGTTTAATTAATTGTTGGAATAATTGTTCTAGAATTAGTTTTATTGTTAAATTACTTAATTATATCAAGAGAAAAATTAATTAATTATTGAAAATTAGTTTTTGCTTTGTCTATAAAAATATGAAATTAGTTAAGTCAATGAAGAATTATGAATTTCCTTGAACAATAATGTGGGAGTACATGTGTTTATATACACAAACTATTCCTAATCCTAATCATGGTAGGATTCTACAATAGGAAACAATCTCTATACAATAAATACAGAATATATAATTAACATAAATATAGAATATATTTAACATGCTCCCAGCTACGTCGGCGTCGATGGTGGGCGAATCCCGAGGCTTGTCCGGAAATCCTGAAATAATATGGACGGGAGGCCCTTGGTGATCATATCTGCAAACTGTGAGGAAGATGGCACGTGAAGGACTCGAATCTGGCCAAGGGCCACCTTGTCACGAA